TCTGGGATGCTAATGGTGGAGGGACATTATTCTGCTTTGTATTCTCTCTTTTATTTTAATAACTTTGTATGATATTTCCCTTTGATCTTATTCTGTTACTCATTTTCACCCAAAATTAGTTTTCCTGCACTTGTAGAAAGGAGGTAAAGGATAGATTTTCGATTTTTCCATATGAAGTCTGCCCTCTTCTGTTGATTTTGAGAACTGTTACATTATGCCAGCTTACTTGTGATTTTCTCCATTTGTTCTCTTCCCTCACATTTATCTGGAACTTCTCTTTTCTTTGTCCCTAGTGTTCCTGTCTTGCTTCACCTGTATTCTATTCCCAGTAGTTTCTCCTCACTGCAAGTCTTCGTCCTGGAAGTGGGTTTTGAGGGATAATTGGGCCTAGTCTGTCCCAGCCTCTTTAGACCTTTATGGTGATGGCAAGCCCTCCCTAGATTCTGACTTCTGGAACACTGTGGGTTCCTGGAACAAAGGCCATCTGCCCCTTCCTTTCTGTGTGCCCAGTTGCTAACACAGGGGCTGGCCTCACAGAAAAGAACAGCTACCCAAGGGGTGAATGAATAGGTCAGCAGCAAACCCCCACACAATGCACCCCAGGACCCATCTCCTGGAGGGGAAAGCACTAGGCCTGAGGCCCGTCTTGGTAAACAATGAAAGTAACAGACCTCCAGATGTGTCCTTGTCCCTTCCTCTGAGCAGGTGTGCCCTACAGAGGTGAAAGGTGGTTTCATCTAGGTTTGCTGGGGCCCGAGTCACCTGAAGGAGGGGCAGGATGATGCTTGCTTGCCTCTCAGTCACTGCCTCCTTCCTTCCCTCTCCTTCTCCCTCCCTCTCACCTGCTCTCCCTCCAGGTCCTTTTGGCCTTGGCATTCCACTGGCCCCCAGGCATCTCCCTCTCTTTGGGGGGTTTCTAGAGACCTGTATCAGCAGGCACTTTCCCACAGTCAGAGCCCAGGGGTTTGAGGTATGTGGGGGGCTCGCCCTCAGTCCCCAGGTACCAGGGGTCTTTGCCCCTCCCCAGTGTGGCTTGGCTCTTCCCCCACATATTCCCACTATTGCCCCTGCTGGAGCCTCCCAGAGGCCACTTGAGCTACTCTACCTGTCCTTCTGCTAATCCAGGGGATTTGCCTGGCGCAGCTGGTGCGGGGGGAGGGGGGAGAGGCATGCATATCTCCTGCCCCTCTCAAGGGCCCCTTTCCTCCATCTACTCCCTCTTCACTCCTAGCACAGCTCCATTCTGGGAAGATCAGGAGCGGACCCTGGAACTGGAGCCCCCACGCTGGGCAGTCTCCCTGTCAGGCAGACCTGGGGGTGCAGGAACACAGATGAATACATGCGTGCCCAGCTCACTGCCACCAGGGAAAGGGTCTGCTGGGGCCAGGGAGCAACAGGCCAGCCTGCCCTTCCCCAGGCGCCATCTCAACCCCAGGCAGCCCTCCCGACTCGGTGCCACACAGCAATTCTGCATATGCCTCCTGGGCGTGATCCTCACTGCTGACATGTGACCTTTCTGGTGTCTTGATTGGATCTAGATTTAACGAGGTGTCCAGGCAGATCTTCCATCACTGCTGCACCTCGGGTATTCCTGTTCTCCTCTCAACCATGACTTCTCTGCCTAGTGTCTGCTGTCCCCTTGCACATGCAGCATTGCCTCAGGCCAGAGCCTCATGAAGAATCTCCTTAGAGACTTCCCTGGTCCTGTCTAGCTCTTTCCTCTCGTGTCTGCTCTGCACATTCCAGGCTCTTCTAAGGCAGAGGATCACAGCAATGGTGGGGTGCAATGTGGCCTACTGATGCCAATGGGGAAAGTAGCCACTTCAGCTCCTTGGTCCCACTTTTTAAAAATTTTAAATATATTTTTGTTGATTTCAGAGAGGAAGGGATAGGGAAAGCGATAGAACAATGATGGGAGAGAATCATTGATCAGCTGCCTCCTGCATGCAACACACTGGGGATTGAGCCCACAACCCGGGCATGTGCCCTGACTGGGAACTGAAGTGTGACCTCCTGATTCATAGGTCAGTGCTCAACCACTGAGCCACACCGGCAGGGCCTTGGTTCCACTTTCCAGTGGTAGGTGATGGGAGGGCTAACCACTGTGTAAGGGTTGGAAGCGAAGTCCAGCTCTCCTCTTTTGAGCCACAGCCATCCAGCATCTTCTCTTCCAGGGTACACATCCCAACCTCCCTTGGCTTTGCTTTGTGACTCCAGTGGGTGCCTTTGCCATTCTGGTCACTTTCTTATAGGAAATATTTTTGTCCTGATTCCTTTTAAAATGTACCTGAGGCAAGATGTGACACTCCAGGGCTGGTTCAACCAGAGTCAAGGAGAGTGGAACAATGCTCTTCCTCCTTGCCTATGGCCTGTGCTCCCAAGGGTTAGAGGATTGCTAATGCCCAGGTGAGGGTTCAGGGAATTCTGGGTATTTTATGGTCTCATGCTCATCACCTTACAGGTCTCGGAGGTCCACTATTTTTTTTTGAGACCCACACACGGATTTGGAGACCTGTGAAAGCTGTGCATGCCTTCTCGATGCAATCAGGTCCTCTCCCCTCACCCCAAAGCCAACAGACAGCCATGATCTCACAAATGTGGGGAAACCTGGGGTTCTGATGCCACAGATAAGCCATAAGTCCATGAAACTGATAAACATTTCTCACTAAGAAGAAGTACTGCATCTCAATCATCTTAGAAATTAGTGTCACCTGGAGCACAAGACTGTGATCTCCTTTCTACCGCACTTGAAATTTATCCTCAGAGCAGAGTCCTAAACCATATCTTCTTTGTTCTACTGGCTTACAATGCTATGAATGAGTGAGTGAATGAATGCATAATGTAGGGAAGAAAAGATTAGAATGTGGAGATAGATATGGCTCCATGAGAAAGCTGAAGTTCAGTGATGCATTTAACTAAGAGAAACACGGTGTTATAGCTGAGCTAAAATGTGCTGTTCCGCGTATAAGGTCAACATAGAACATAGAGGTGGTATGTTTCCAAGTACGTCCTGTGACCATGAGGATGTCATGTGTGTGGACTGGACTGGGAAGAATGCCCCAGACACCAACTCTTAGTCAGTGTCCTAAAGGATTCTGTTGGGCATGAAGCTTCTGCAATCTGGAAGACCCTCTTGGAAAATGATAAAATGAGCATGAAAGCAAATGTTTATTTAGAATGAGGAAAAATTCATAATGAACTTTAAAAGATGACTGCGAAACCACCAAAGTATATACATGTGTGTGTATTTTAGACATTCCAACTATGTAGTTGTAGAGCCTGAAATAGGATGAAGCAGAGGCTCTAGGTCAGTGATTCTCAACTTTCTGGCCCTTTAAATATAGTTCCTCATGTTGTGACCCAACCATAAAATTATTTTTGTTGCTACTTCATAACTGTAATGTTGCTACTGTTATGAATCATAATGTAAATATCCGATATGCAGGATGGTCTTAGGCAACCCCTGTGAAAGGGTCGTTCAACCGCCAAAGGGGTCGCGACCCACAGGTTGAGAACTGCTGCTCTAGGTGAAAGATACAGTGATTCTATGGTGAGTCAAAAAAGCTTGCTTTTACGAATTTCACCCCCCCAAAAAATCACTTGGCCATGGGAACACATAGCATGGGCCCATGAGTGATAGGTGACTTCCCATAAGAATAAAAATGCACTCAGACTCATGTTAAGCTTTTACTGTTTATTTTCATAACAAAATTTAAAAGTAAACTCCATTTTCTAAACTTTTTTTAAAAGAAGTATTATAACAAGTGAATAGAACATTTAATGGGCTTCAGGATTGATCTTTTAATGCTTCCTTATATAATGACAACAGCCACTTTTAGGTAGAATCTTTTGTGAAACCCTTTCCCCAGCTCCCACATCCTGATGCACTTATTCCTTGAGCAGCCTGGACTGACTTACCAGTCTGCATCTTACACTGTTGGAACCTGTCAGAGATAGTTGACGAGTAAGTCAAAAGATAAAGCTTGCTTGCTTTAAGACAAATGACTGCTTTTCAGGGGACAGTTCCAGAACAAAGTGCTTGATTTCTTCCAATTTTATGCTAATAAGATGAGCTCCTCATAGTCCTAGGTCTAGAGCAGCTGGACGGTGTGTATAATGACTTTAGTTGCCTTCCACGTGGGGAGAGACAGCTTATATAGAGGATCAAGTAAGTCACTGTCACTGAGGAAGGCAGCCAGACAGCTTGTCTGTTTTAGGAAAACATTCGGCCATTGAAGAGCTACTCCCATAAGTGAAGTATCATGGAAATGAAGAGTTAACAACGTTGCACAGGTGGACCAAGTACTTATTATCCACATGTGGGCTACAGGCAGATGATCCATTCATCTGGTCTGGATTTCAGTTTGCTTTTCCAAGAACCATCTGACAGCAGTGATAATACACAGAAAACAATTCTGTCATTGGTTTCAGCTCTCAGGGCTGTTCTTCCTGACCGCCAAACAAACACACACAGCGGGGAAGACTCTCAGAAATTATCTTAGGAAGGAATGCAATTGTTTATACAAATATATCACAAAAAGAGTGAGCAGCTCATATGATGTGTCTGTAAAATACATCTCAGATTTTAAAAAATTGTTGCTTAATACCTGCTACCAGGGCTCTTTCATATATTGCAAGAGTGTGTGTCATATACTAAAATATGAAGTATAGATAGTCAAAAATAATTTTATGAAAATGCCTGGACATTTACACATCTGAATAAGCAGAGAGAAGTACAACTGTTGGCAATATTTTACCAAATTAATTCGCGAAGAGTGGGAAATGGTCATGACTGTGCCACTCAAAAATGCCAGAGATGGACCCAAAATGAATTGAGTACATTTCCGAGTTTCCAGAATGACTTTATGCGCTATAGAAAATGGAGGGATCACGTTTTGTGCAGCCAGGGTTTCTAACTAATGATACAAATGAGAGTCTCTCTGTGGAGGGGGAGAGTTATCTAGCCCTGCCCCTGATTGCTGGTCTCTTGTTTATTTTCTTCAAGATATTTTTATCAAAGAGTTCTTTTTCCCGGTAATGCACAGGGGGCCCTTGAAGGTACTTTTCTTCTGCCTTCTACTCACTTTGTCATCTCTGGTCAGACTCAACTTGTTCTTGTCTATGTGCTTGTAGATCTCCTGTAGATGCTGCATCACAACATCCAACTGGTCTTCATCCTCCAGGTAGGTTTCAACGCAGATCACGTACCTGCTTGAATTCAGAAAGGACGTCAGCCACTTGGACTGCTTCCTGCCTTTGAGGATGTCCAGAAGGTGGTGGTCGGCCCCCTTCCTTTTCACGATGAAGTCCACGAGCTTCTGGTTGTCTCGGTCCCAAGCGGCCTTCATGCGGTCAGGGAGGATCTTCTTGCGGGGCCTCCTCCCATCCGGGGAGCTCTCCTCCTCAGAATCTTCCAGGTCTGCGTAATTCACCTTTGGGAAGGCAATGTACAGCTCCCCCTCTTGGACGGCTCTCCTCAGTGGGTAGCTGATGTCGGCAGCATAGTAGGGGAGGAAAGAGCCTGCAAAAGACCCCTGAGCGAGCCCTTCTCTGTAGTGAGAAATCAGGGAGAAGCACCAGTCCACGCTCTGCTCATACACCTTCCTGGCTCTCTTCAGCAGCTTCTCCTTTGCTTTGCATTCCAGGTGCTTTAATCTCCGAAGAGGCACTTGAAGGCCCCTCTGGTCATGGTGCATGTCTGCCTCAATCGGAAGCACCCTGGCCGTCCGCTCTGTGTGGTTCACACTCTTGACTACTGCTGGCCAAAACGGGTGATTTTGAAATTTAAACCAGACCATCATTCCTGTTTCAATGGGACACTGCTCCTGTGGGAAGGCCATGCTTGTCGCTTGTCCCATTCCCTTGGTGACCTTCTTCTTAAGAGTGGTTGTTGGGTGAACAGCCTTGGAGTCAACTGAAGGCTGCCGTTTTTTCCGTTCTTTCTTAAACACGGGTCCCCACTGCTTCCTTACTTTGCCTGCTAAACAGGATGAAAAACGCGGACTGGGCTTAGGGGCGCTGCAGGATGGCGCTGCCCCTTCTGAGCCTGACGCTTGGACACCTTCTTCAGGGTCTTCAATGCTCCCGGAGGAGGGAGGGCCTTCAGAGGAGACAGCCAGGGTCTTCCGGCAGGTGCCGCGTGGTGCCTTTCTTTTCCGGGCCTTGGGCACAGTGACGCTCAAACTAGGTGGCTGAAAAGGAAGGATGCCTCCCTCTTGAGCACCTGCAACTTCCTCCTTGGTTGTGACATGCCTGGAACGAGCTCTTGAGGTGCCTGTCTTTGCCTGGCCCTCTGTCTCATGCTCATCTTCTGAAATTGGTGGGAAGTTGGGGCACATGCTGCGGCTCTGTGGGGGCCTCCCTCGCCTTCTCTTTGGAGCAGGAGTGAGGGGGGTGTGCACCTGGGATTTGTCACCTTCGGGGGCATCCTCACCCTCTGAACCTACCAACAATGACTTGGGGTTTTTACTTTTCCTGAGACTTCTCTGTGAGTTCTCTTTGGGCTTTGGAAACTTTTTATGAGATCGCTTCTGGGGTCCCTTTTGAGACATCGTAGGGGTCTCTGGATCATCGGATGCCCTTGCTGCACCCAAGTTTGCTCTCTCTTTCAGAATCTCCAGTGCCATAGTAAGAGCACTTTTGTAGGCCTCTCCCTCTCCTGTTGGGACTCTGGCTGTGGTCTGGGCCCCTAGCAAGGAGGTAATAGACTCAATTTGAGACTCATCAAGGATCTTTATGTCTCTGTTTTACACTTTCATTTTTTTACCCACTGAGAGTATTTGAACTTCTAGAGAACATATCTTTTTCCCCTTACTTTTTGGTGAGGTTTCAGATCTGGACAAAACCCTTGCTGGCCAAAAGCAGCCTTTCCAATTGCATAAGACATACTCAGGATCCATTATGATGGGACTTGGGTAGCTGAGAAGTAACTAACGGAGGTAGAGGGGCCCGGCTGTCACGCACACAACTACAGCAGGTGTCCCGTAGACGGTGTTCTTCACCACAGCTTTCTGCCTAGGACGAAAGAGAGTTTACCCCTTGTGTGGCCTGTGTTCCACCTGAATCTTCCAGAAATGCTGGAACTCGTGTTTTGACAAACTACACTGGAGAATACTGGAATACGGAAAAGGGAAAGGAGTATCAGAAAGCTCTTTTGTGGAAGTAGAAAAAGTTGGTCATTGAAAACTAATGCTATATAATAAAACCCTAATATGCATATAGGGTCGCTATGATGCGCACTGACCACCAGGGGGCAGACGCTCAATGCAGGAGCTGCCCCCTGGTGGTCAGTGTGCCCCCATAGCGGGAGTGCCTTTCAGCCAGAAGCCGGGTTCACAGCTGGCGAGTGTAGTAGTGGTGGCGGGAACCTCTCCTGCCTCTGCAGCAGGCGGGCAGTAAGGAGGGAGCAGTCCCAGACTGGGAAAGCTCCAGGGAATCAGGCCTAAGCCGGCAGGCGGACATTCCCCCAAGAGGTCCAGGACTGTGAGAGGGTGCAGGCCAGACTGAGGGACCTCCCCCCTTATGCATTGGGCCTCCAGTAAGAGAAATATAAAGAAGGTGTAACAGACTAGATTGGCAGGGAAGGGGGTGTGTGTGCAGGATACACGCCCACTATCTTAGGGGAAATATACAGAAGATACCAGGAGAGTTTTATAGCCTAATGAACCCAACTCTGTGCCCTATTTGTTGCTACTGCATATTAAAGGGCACCTGTGTGAGGAGGTGGGTATCATGTCCTGGATTTAATTTGTGTTATTGCTCATCTTGGGCCTTTTGTGCTCCTGCTGGGGCTCATGCTAGGGGAATGCTTCAGTGTTTATTTTCTGGTATGCTAGTGCTACCCTGTGCACCCAAGGAAGCCAGAATGATCTCTGACCCACAGATACTGGGTGTCAGCACAATATCATGTTCAAGAGCGTGAGCTTAGAATCCAGAAGTTCAGGAAGCTCATATGGTGGTTAGAGGTGTTCCCCTTCTTAAGGATTGCTGCAGTCTCAAGCCGTTGGCTGGGACCTGCACCTCTCCATTTCTCTATGGTGCTGCCACCCCCACCACCCCAGCACCAAATGAATGTGAAGTAGTGACTGTAGAGGGAGGAGCAACATAAACCACACCTCAAACGTCAACATGAAATCAATGATTGCAATGAAATGTGTAGTAAAATGAGAAAGTCTTACCAATCTCCGTGGTAGGTGTGGTTCTGTGAGCAGGGTCTGTTGATCTACAAACTCCAACTGTTGGGCTTCTGAAGGGCACTGCCCTTCCAGGGATCAAATGGCACCAAATGCCGATACTCAGGACCAGTACGCCTCTATGTCAACCTAGAAAATGCAAGAGAGATAGGAAACTAAGCCAATGGAATGAGGATTGACTCATCACTTTCCCTTCCGCAACTCTGGAATGCATGCTATTCTTAAAGAGAAATATTAGTTACATCTCATGTATAATATAGATGTCATGTTTCTTTTCATCCTTCCTTTCCATTTCAAAATATTTACACCTTATACTACTTAGTTTATGCTAATCCCTCCTTTTTCACAACAGAGCAAATTACTACTTTCATAATAGTGTTCGACTGTCTTGGACGCATGGATTATTTCAAAGTAGTAGCATGAGTGTGTGAGTGTGTGTGTGTATGTGTGATACAAACATGGGTGTGCTGTAATGTGTGTGTTGTTTTGTGTATCTAAAGAAACATTATTAAATGGGCTTTTGGAGAATATAAAATGTGTGAGAGCCATAGCTAAGATCTGGAAACAGCCTAAGTGCCCATCAGTAGATGAATGGATTAGAAAACTGTGGTACATCTACACGATGGAATACTATGCTGCTCTAAAAAGGAAGGAACTCTTACCATTTGCAACGGCATGGATGGAACTGGAGAGCATTATGCTAAGTGAAATAAGACAGTCAATGAAGGAAAAATACAACATGATCTCACTCATTTATGGATAATAAAGACCATTATAAACTGATGAACAAAAATAGTTATCCCATTAGCTGAGTTCATGCTAAGTAAATCAATGTATTGATAGGATATAGTGACACAACAACTGTGAAGAGAAAATTAAGTAACATGTAAACTTGTAAAACTTTATAAACATGTGGATAACTATCTAAATAAATATGAATTGTTTTTTAAAATAAAAAAAAAAAATGTGTGAGTGATATATGCAGGAGTCAACATATTATATGAATATATGTTTTATTCTTCAACCAAGGATATGTTTTTATTTATTTTGAGAGAGAGAGGAATGGAAGGAGAGAGAGAGAAACATGGATGTGAGAAAGAAATGCCTGGTTCATAGGTTCTACTTTTCTGTATACATGGTACAGATGTGCATTATAATTCACTTATAGATTTCAGCTCATCCATTATCAGCCTCAAATAATGTGCTTCATAAGAGGAAATGCTATTTCTGTAATACACGGCTGCATGTTCAGCTTTGTTCACACACACTCATAGAGAGAACACGAACTACACCAGGACTAAATGTACATAATTTGGACATAACCTGCACAGCCTTTGTCTTGGACCAGGGTGAGCAATCCTGCAGGCGTCAGGCTCCCTTCTTAGAGGATTTGGTGAACCTGCTTTCAGAGCACAGGTGTCACGTGGAGACAGAACAGAACAAGGAAGGATAAACAGGTGACTCAGTCACTGCAGTGTCCCTGCAGCAAGACCTGCCAGCCCATCACACAACACAGGAGTGCCTGCGTCACCTCAGTCCCCACCACAGAGCAACCGACATCCCAAGACGCATGTACACACACATACACACACACACACTCACATACTCACACACACACACTCGGAGTGACATTAGAGAAACAGATGCCTGATATTGATGCATGCAATCCATGCTCTCTGCCTCCACACATGCATATGTAAATGGTTCTGCTTGTAGTCCTGGATGCTATTTTCAGCTCCTCTTCATTCCTTATTTTAAAAACACAGGTGGAAATCCTAAAATGATGTTAATTTTTCATTGTTGACACTGTTACAGATTTCCCCCCATGAAAAAGACTAAACATTAGTAATCAAATACCTAGGATTGCTTACTGAAATATATACTGCACAGACTGTAGAATTTTTATTCTGTTTATACACATATTCTATAACATATGAAACAGCTTTTAAATTGTACATTTTGACTATTTTCTTGTATTCACAGTTTTGTACATCTTTTCAACTATCACTTTAATGGATCTATTTCAAGAGACAACCAAAATATCAACTACAGTTATGTTTCTAATTACTAAAGCAATACATCCTTATGAGACAAATGAATGGAAGTGTGCTGAATGAAAACAGTAAATAGTCCTCCTGTCTTATACTTTGGCCCATGGTCCAAACATCTTCCTTTAAGTGTTGGTGCATACTCTTTCATATGAAAAGATGATTTCTTTTCATATTTTATACTAAGAGGAGTACAACTGTCTCCTCTCCCTTTAAAGATGTGTACAGGGCCCTGACCGGTTTGGCTCAGTGGATGGAGCATGGCCCTGCAGACTGAAGGGTCCCGGGTTTGATTCTGGTCAGGGGCATGTACCTTGGTTGCGGGCACATCCCCAGTAGGGGGTGTGCAAGAGGCAGCTGATTCATGTTTCTCTCTCATCGATGTTTCTGACTCTCTATCCCTCTCCTTTCCTCTCTGTAAAAAACCAATAAAATATTTAAAAAAAGATGTGTACAGGTAGGTGGATAGATACATGATGGATGGTTGAATAGATAGACAGATAGATGATAAGTAGATAGATGACAGAGAGAATACTATGTAAATATCCTCTTTTGCACACCAGGCACAGTGCGTTAAACCCAGAACATTGAACAACACCAAACTAACATTTCAAATAACCCCAAAGCCACAGAGGGCTTGGATGCGAAAATGCTTCCAAAGTGTTAATTTATAATGAAATCAAACTTCCTGCAGAGAGAGAATACACAGAAGAAAACAGAAGGGGGGCAGGATAAACAGCAACTCCACAATCTCTAACTTCATAGTGAATTTCAGACCATCAGGAAATAAAGTTATGAAATGGACTAGCTTCCATTTTTCAGGTCCTGGTATAACTTTTGTTCCATGTTATCTGCTCTTTGATTGAGCAATCAAAGAAGCGGATGACATAGAGCTTTCATCTCTCCAATCAGCAGCCATGATTTTCGGGAGAATTACTTGGAAGGTATAGTCATTCACTCCCTTCCCCAGTGAGGCCTGCAACCACTTGTGAGGGAAATAGGAAAGAAAACAGTGCTATGAAGGTGTTGTGTCCAAACGAGGGCACTTTTCTTGAGCTGAGCCCAGCACCTCTCCTCAGGCAGAAATTCTCTCATCTTCACCCCAATCCCCTGCCCGCCCATCAACGGTTATTAGCTGTTTAGTGGAGCTGCTGTGAAGCTGTAGGGTTTGTGATTCTCATTGTCCCCAAAACATGTATTTCCATAAAAAAGATGAGGTGGAAGTTCCCTTACTTATTATAAAGCACACTTTATAAAATATGTTATGAAGAAAACACATTCTTGCCTTTTTTGCACCTCTCCATTGCCAGATGAATTGGCATAAACTTTCACACATATTTCCTTTAAGCTTTTAAGATTTCATGGGACTTGCAGTCATCATACAGATATTGGCATGGGAAACTGAGGTATGACCAAGCAGAAAAAAGGGGTTAAGAGTCTGAAGTCATATTTAAATTTCCAAGGACTCATTAAGCGACACTGTTTGACTTCTTTAACCATTGTTTACATATACTTTTAATTAAA